CCTGTGCTGCCCACGCCAATACCGTCTTCGAGTGAGACTTCTCAGAGCAGCCGTACCCCACGGGCCCCCCTTCCCACAGTCCGTGTCCCCGTATTTCCGCAGTCGTCACGTCCGCAAGGCAAGAAGAAGAAGGTACAGGATGCAGCGCCCCCTGCCTCGCCTCGCCACCGTATGACGAAGAAGGCGTGACATGCGTACACGGCGAGGGAGAAGCTGTACTGGCTGGATATGCTAGACACGCAGCCCGATCTCAGCATCCGGGGGTTGGCGCGGCTAGCTAACGTGCAACCGAAGAAGATTCACGAATGGCGGAAATTGAAGGAGCGACTCCTTGTTTCAGCGGCGTGTCGTCGTCGCCTCGTTGGCGCAGGCCGTAAGGCCAAGTGGCCTTTCATGGAGCGGGCCGTCTACCATCAGTTTTTGGCGCACCGTGCCAAGGGTCTGGCCGTCTCTGTGAGCATGCTTCAGAAGTGGTCGCGGAAGTACATGAAGCACCGACACCCTCGGGCCGACTGGCGCGGGTCTAAGCGTTGGAGTTTCCGTTTCCGCGTGCAGTGGTCCTTGGCAAAGCGTTTGAAGACAAAGATGGGGCAAAATCTGGCTGACAGTGAGTCCTATTTCCCTGTTGCTATATTAGCCCGCGGAAACCGGGCTCGTGTGTGTAATCGATGTTGTCCCGCGACTAACAATTTCTATGTTCTCTCTCCTTGCAGATTTGAAGGCCAAGGTGGAATCCTTCTGGGAGTTTGTTCGGCAGATGCAAGTCCTGAATTCCTACCCCACCAGTCTGATCGTTTACGCCGATCAGACACCGCTCTTCCTGGAGATGCCACAAGAACGCACATTGGAGATGAAGGGGGCGCACACCGTGCACGTCCGTACCGCGGGTTACGAGAAGGAGCGCCTCACCGTTATGCTGACAGTGACGGCGAGCGGCTTGAAGTTGCCACTGTGAAAGTTTAAAAAGAAGAAGAAGAAGGAGGGTTGCACTAGCAAGAATGAGGATACAAATAGCAAACCCTAGAAGGGTTGTACTCGCTATAGAGCACCCCACTACAGGCTAGAGCATAATATTCTGACACACCCCCATAGCCAAAGTGGGGTGTAATCAGCAGAGCAAGCACAGCAGTACAAGCTCAGGGTGGATCACAATGTCACCACACATTCTGAGCACAAGTTCAAGAAGCAATAGTTTAAAGTTCACAATTATGAGCAAAGCTAGAGGCTATCGCAGAGGGCAAGTGAGGAGGAGGAGAGACTGTGGGGGAGAGAAGATGGGAGGCGACTGCTGACGCTGCAGACACACAGACGAGCTGCTGGCTCAGTGGCTACCGGAACAACGCTCCGGACTACTGGGGTAACTGGCCCCGCGGCTAAAAGTAGCGGCAGACGAGCAACGGACCCACGGGCGACTGGCGACTACCGGAGATTGTAGCCTCCGGACTGCTGCTGCTGCTGACGACAAGACTGCTGCCTCCACTCGACCTCCCCCAAACAGTACCACCCCTCCTGACACACACCCGCTGCTACACCGCTAGCTCCACTCCCCATTCACCCCCCCTTAGCACCACTCCAACGGCTCCAACAAGTCCACCCCCCCTCAGCGGCAGCTGCAGCACAGGGAGACGGAGGAGGAGGAGGAGCAGGGAACGGCACACAGTAGTTTCACCCCCATACCCCTCACCCCCAAACCCTAATTCAGGAGAACGGGCTGTAGGAGGGGTGGGGCGCCAGCAGAAGCACGGGGGACAGCGGGGAGGGCAGGGGCAGCGAGGAAAGGGCCGCCCACGGGCCTGGCACAGCCTCCCGAACCGCGCGCAGGCAGCCCGAGCCGCGCGCGGGCCTGGCGCAGCCCGTACGGGCCGCGCGCGGGCCTAGCGCAGCCCGTACGGGCCGCGCGCGGGTCTGGCGCAGCCCGTACGGGCCGCGCGCGGGTCTGTCGCAGCCCGTACGGGCCGCGCGCAGGCCTGGCGCAGCCCGTACGGGCCGCGCGCCGGCTGTACGGGCCGCGCGCAGGCCACGACGGGCGACGGGGGGCGACGCGCGGGTCCCCGTCGCCCGTCGCAGCGCCTCCCGAGGGCGACGCGGCGAGTGACGGGGTAGAAGCCCGCCGCGCGCCTCGGGGCGCACAGCGGGCAGAGAACCGCCGCGCGCCACGGGGCGCACGGCGGGCAGAAAACCGCCGCGCGCCTCGGGGCGCACGGCGGGAAGAAAAACTGCCGCACGCCACGGGGCGTGCGGCACAGAAGGTAGTAGTGGAAGTTGCAGCGGAAGCAACGAGGTGGTGAGCCCACCCACAGGATCGATCCAAGGGGATCGACCTGCTCTGATAGCATGTGAAAGTTTAAAAAGAAGAAGGAGAAGGAGGGTTGCACTAGCAAGAATGAGGATACAAATAGCAAACCCTAGAAGGGTTGTACTCGCTATAGAGCACCCCACTACAGGCTAGAGCATAATATTCTGACAGCCACCGTATGTGGTGTTCAAGCGCAAGACAATCCCGAAGGTCGTCGTTCTGCGAGGTGAGTCATTATTGCCGTTACGCATGTTACTCGTACCCTTGTACATGCGACTGATGTGCATCATGCGGTGTGCAGGCGTCGTTATCCGTGCGTAGGTACGGGGATGGATGCACGAGAACCTCGTCCAGGACTGGACTACCCAAGTCCTCGTCCCCTTCATGCGGCCCCTGCGGGACGAGGGCTGCAGGCGGAAGGACGTCCTCCTTGTCCTGGACTCATATCGAGGACATCTCACCGAGGCCGTCGGCCAGACTATGCGTCTCTTCAGGCTGACACGCGCGGTGATCCCACGCGGTTGCACACCGCTTGTGCAACCGCTTGATGTGTCAATCAACCGTGCCTTCAAGGCGGGCGTCCGACACCACTACGGCACCTGGTTCGAGGAGGACGGGATCAGAAGCACAACTCCCGCAGGTGAGCCCTTGTATGAAGCAATGGGGGCGTGTTGTTGATGTAAGAACAATCGAATCACACAACCATACACCCTCCAATCCCTTACCCTTGGCCCCAACCCGCAGGCAACTTGAAGAAACCGCCGACCGAACTCGTCCTGAAGTGGATTGACGAGGCGTGGGCCAACGTTCCCGAGGAGATGGTGAGGAACGCATTCCTCACCTGCGGCATCTCCAACGTAGAGGACGGGAGCCACGATCATCTGATCCTAGCGCACATGCAGGATTCCGACGAGGTGGAGGTGCTGGAAGACGTTATGGAGGAGGAGCAGGATGAACTGGTCCCCAACCCGTTCTACCCGGCCCCCGTGGTCACCCCTCCCGATGTGACCGTCGAGATGGAGGAGGAGGCCGTGCTGGTTGCTGAAGCAGAGGAGGCCGATGAGGAGGCAGTACCTGCTAAGTCATGTCAAACATAATAATTTAGGGGCCTAGGGTTTGACCTAAGCGAGAGTGACGAGAGGAAAAGTGCAAGCCAAAAGAGGGGTTCAATAGTAGAGGGCATACAAGATATAGGCAAGGAATTAGGCAAATGGTACACCACCTAGCAGGAAACTAAGATAACTACACTAGGCTACTGTAGGCATTTATATGAATGTATACAAATACATTTCAACACACCCCCTAAATGCCTACAGTGGAAACCCGTGTGTAGTACAAAGTCTGCAGAGGTACACCAGGTGCAGTGGAAGAAGCAGCAACAGGCAATAACAGTGGCAGTCGGTGCTTTGGTGGCAAATACAGCTGCAGCACGCCTTCAGCCAAGGCAGAAGCAGTAGCAGGTGTAGGGGCGGCAGGTCGCCTGAGGAGCAGGCTCTGTGGCTGCAACGTGCAGCAGGACAGCAGCGGCTCGACGGCAGCACCTGCAGGCCCCAGCAGCAGGCAGCAGAAACAAGGGCAGGTGGCAGCAGGGGCGGCAGCAGGAGGTGCCACAGTAGCAGCGGGTGGCAGCTGCAATTTCCTGACTGTCTTCCGCCACCCTCTCTTACCCTCCCCCCACAGCCACGAGCGGCAGTGAGAGAGAGAGGAGGGGCGGCTGCTGGCTTTGCAGAATCTCTCTCGCCACCCCCTCACACTCCCCCTCCCCCCACGGGTGTACGAGCAGCAGTAAGAGGGAGGAAAAGGCGAACAGCGGCGGCAGGAGCTGTGTCACCCACGCGCAAACCCCACCCCCTCCCCCCCCCTTTTCACTGGCGCACGAGCAGCAGGTGCGGGGCAGGGGAGCCGCGCGGTAGCTCGCGGCCATACACGGCTGCGCTCGGTTGTGCGCGGCTTCACGCGGCCGTACGCAGCTGCGCGCGGCTGCGCGTGGCTGTGGCAGCTCGTAACGGGACGAGGGGCGGGGCAGCTCGGGACGGGGCGGGTAGCGCTGGGCGGGTGACAGGGCGAAGGAGCAACGGGGCAGTACGAGCCGCCCAGCTCGTTGCCATGACAGCAGACAGCTTGCCGTCGCGCCCGTCACATCAGTCGCAACTAAGGGCGCGACGGGCGCCACGAAACGAGAAATACGCGGTGGGCCCATGGAGTAGTTGAAAACAGCAGGCCAGTATGTTACGTGCTCTGTACCATGTCAGAATCCCAACCACTAGACCATTGGGATAAAAGGGCTTGTTAAGTAGCGGGTCAGAGTGCGCCCATAACCCCCCAGGCAAACATGCCTGTAACCCCCTGTAGGATCAATCGGGCATCCACAGTGCAGATCTACTGACAACTTGAGTTGATGCTAGCATTAAGATAACTTTTGGCCTTTTTTTGAAGTGCCAATGTGCCACTAGGGAAACATAGGTAGATTGTTTACATCTCCTGGTGTCCTTGAGATTTATGAGGTCAACATAATCCAATTCCTCAATGAAAATCACCTACAGAAAAAATCCACCTCTAGCTGTGCAACCTTCGAAGAGCTAACAGTGCAGTGTTGCCTCCTACCTTACAAGCTACGCTTACAACCACACACACCCACCTTTCAGTGCAGAGCACAAGCACGTATGCAACCAAACTGGCACCCCAACCTCCCCTTGCTTGTCATTCATGATTGTTGCAACAAAAGGGCATCCACCATCCCCCTTTTGCTACCCGCTCCTGCATCGGCAGCAGCAGCAGCAGCAGCAGCAGCAGCAGCAGGCACAGCAGCGGCAGAGGGGAAGACAAACAGCCGCGACGTGTGCAGGCAGGGGTAGAGCTTGGCAGCAGGGCGCGGGGCCAGGAGCCGAATGAGCGGCAGCTGCAGCATACCCGATGCCACCGCGACCAGGCGGAAGGAGAGGCGGAGAGAGGCGCGGGGGAGCACTGTGACAGAGCCGCTGTGCTGGCCTGCAAAGACAAAGCCTGGGGCGTCCTGCAGCTGATACACCACCTCTTGCAGCGAGGTGGTGCAGTTGGAGAGGCGGATGGAGAAGGAGAAGGGCGACCCGACGATCGTGAACGGCAGTAGGCGCAGCGACACGACGAGAATTGGGTTGGCAGCAAGAACGGGCGGGAATGGCCGGAGAGACGAGACGGTTGGGGAGAGCTGTGGGAGGAATAAGGGTGCGGGGGTTAGAGTCTGGGCTGCCTGTTGGTGTGGCTGGTCGGGTGGGGCTGCAGTGTCTAGAGTCAGTGCCACAGGGTCAGAGCCTGCCAGCTTGACACTCAATCCACTAGCCGGATAATTCTCGCTTGCCATGCCTGCAGGCACTTGCAAAACTGACTGACTGAGTAACCAATTGCTGCTCTCTCCTTGAGCTGTGTGGCGCTGCCACGTGAGCAGCAGCGAGCCGATGACGAGGGCGGGCGAGGCAACACGCGGGGTGACATGGAAGTGCTGAGTGAAAGACTCTCCTTGACCCAACACCAAGGGAAGTTCTGAATCACACACCTCTGATTGCTCTAGTGATTCGGATGGCATTGGCACTTCCCCTTCCCCACTGCCCTCCACACCTGCACTGCTGCTGTCACCATCTCTCCCATCGTCTGCGTGTGAAACAGCACGACCAGCAGCAGCAAGAGCAGCAGATGTACTGCCATGCATGGACACTGGCTGGACAAGGCACGCGGAATCGTCCCCTTGCAGCTGCTGCACTCGCACTGCCAGCAGCCGCAGTGCCGTGCACGCTGTGTTACGCACAACCACCGCCACCACACACGTCTCATGCACCGCCACAGCTGCTGCCGGCGCCGCCCCTGCTCCTGCTGTTGTGAGAGCAGAGAGAGAGGAGGGCGTGGAGGGGGGAAGCGGGGTGGTGGGGGTAGAGGCAGCAGAGGTGGTGGTGGGGGTGGAGGAGGCAGCAGGGGAAAACTGGAAGATGGGGATGAGGGAGTCCTTTCGAAAGGGGCCGATGTAGCGATGGAGCACGGAGAGGGCTTCTTGGCACCGCAGATCCTGAGATCTGGACACCTGGAACGGTGCTTTGGCGGTCGCGCTGCTGCTGCTCACTGCGCTCTCGCTGCTCACCACACCTTCTGCTGCTCCTGCTGTTCCTCCCCCTGCTGCTGCCGCTCCTGCTGCTGCTGCAGCTGGGTCTGCTGTGGCTCCTTCGCTCGCACATTCCCCTGCTTCACCTACATCCGCACCAGCATTGGCATCGGCAGGAACAGCAGCAGCAGGCTCCTCTCTCACGCTCCCTTCAGCCTGTGTAGCTTGGGTGGAGGCAGCAGCAGCCGGAGCAGGAGGGGAGGAGGAGTACGAGAGAGTGGCAATGAAGCTAAGGGGAATAGCGGCCTTCCATCGGACAAACACCACTGTGCTCCATGACCCATGGGGTTCCACCATAGGCACCTTAATGTCTCCTCTCAATGCCACCAGCTGCTGTTGCTGCTGCTGCTGCTGCTCGCTGCTCTCTCTTCTCTCAATCCGATTCCCTCCTTCATCCCCCTCTCCCACTTCCCCTCTTGTCTCCCCATCTACCAACCCCTGTCCTGCCCCCTGCCCCGCCCACCCACCCTGCTCCCCCCATGGCAATAGAATTTCCGCGGGAACAGCAGTCCCATGCACCTCTGTCTCTCCCCCTTCGTCTCTCCCGGCAGTGCCTTCCCCCAGGACTGCAAACGCGTCCCCTGCACTAGTACCAGCAGGTGGGATGGGCAAATACCCTGGGAGAGGAGGGGGTTCAAAGGCAGGCAGATGGGCTATGGAAGGGATGCTGTGAGAGGCGCCGGGGCCTTCCTTGCCTGTGCCGCCGCTGCCGGTTGCACTGTTGGTGGTGCTGGTTGTGCTGCTGCTGGTAGCAGTGGTGGTGGTGGAAGAGGGGTTGTTGGAGGGTGCATGGGCGGTGGGCCAAGCAGCGGGAGAGGCAGGAGGGGACGACGCTGCCAGAGGGGAAGTAGAGGTAGAACCAGAGGCCCCAGCACCAGCACCGGCGGCAGCATTACCGCCAGCAGCGCCCGCGGCGGCAGCAGCAGCGGACAGAACAAGCGACAGCGACGCAGACCACAGCGCGTGCCCAAGCGACCGCACCCACACACGCACAGGCAGAGCCTCCCCTACCAGCCCCCCGTCTGCCGCACAATCCACAGTCACATCGGCTAAAGGGGCCTCGTCTGCTATCTCTACTGCCTTCTGGCCCAGCACAGAGAGGGATGAGTCTGCAAAGGGCGAGGGAGAGGGCGCCTCGAAGACCCAGAAGGGCACGAGGCCTGCTGCTTGCGGGCTGTCAATGGGACAGGAGAGGACGGCGTGTGGTGTGATGTGTGCCTGCACCTGGAGGCACTCGAGGAGCCCGCTGAATGCTGGGGGAGGGAGGGAGGGGAGTGGAGGGAGGGGTGGTAGGCGTGAGGGTAAACGGGGTGAAGGAGAGGAGAGGAGAGGAGGGAGGAAAGGACGAGGAGAGGAGGGGAGAGAACAGGAGGGATGGGAGGGGGGAGCGGAAGAGGGGAGAGGAGGGGAGGAGAGGAGAGGAAAGGAGAGGAGAGGTGAGAAGAAGAGAGGAGAGGGGGAGAGGAGAGGGGGGAAGAGGAGAGGAGCGGAGAGGAGAGGAGAGGAGAGGAGAGGAGAGGAGAGGAGAGGAGCCGAGACGAGACGAGACGAGACGAGAGGGGAGGTGAGGGGACGAGTGGGGGGGAGAGAAGAAGTTAGAAGAGGAGAGGGGACGAAAGGAGGGGAGGCTGAAGGAGAGGAGGTAAGGCGAGAGGAGAGGAGGGGAGATGACAAGAGAAGACAGGATGAGGGGAAGGAGAGACAAAAAGAGCAGGGCAGAGGAGACAAGAAACGACAAGCGGAAAGGAGGAGACAAGAAATAATGAAACTCGTGCTTCTCAGTGCACCCTGCTGATTCATCTGTAGATGACAATTCCTCAGTCGTGCCACTCATTCATGTGTGACTGGTCGCCATCACCACCAGCAGCAGTAGCCATCATGAGCATCATCACCATCATCACCATCATCACCATCACCACCATCATCACCATCATCACCATCATCACCATCATCACCATCACCACCATCATCACCATCATCACCATCACCACCATCATCACCATCACCACCATCACCACCATCATCACCATCACCACCATCATCACCATCACCACCATCACCACCATCATCACCATCACCACCATCATCACCATCACCATCATCATCACCATCACCACCATCACCACCATCATCACCATCACCACCATCATCACCATCACCACCATCATCACCATCACCACCATCACCACCATCATCACCATCACCATCACAGTTACCTGGAGTGACGGACAAGGAGAGACGCTTCCACACACCAGGCTGCAGCACTAGCCCTTCCGCATCCCCCCCCTCCTCCCCCTTCCCCTCCCCCTCCTTTCCCCCATCCCCGCCCACCTTCTCCTCCCCCTCCCCACTGCTCGGAATCCACGTGTCGCAGCACGATTGGCTGAACCGCACCAGCAGCCGCTGCAGGCGCAGGGGGATGGGGAAGTGGGTGAGGAGGGACACGCACACCTGCAGCGGCTGCCCCATGCGCGGGGGTGAGGGGGGGTGCGCGGGGCAGGGGGGGAAGGCGGCAGTAGCAGAGAGCACTGCACGCAGGTGGGGTAGCTCCTGGGTGAAGAGGAGGAATGGGTGGGTGGGCCCCACTCTCAGGGCCGCTGCTGCTGCTGCCTTTTTCACTGATTCTTCCTCCCTTCCTGCAGATGCAGTCACGCTGCTGGCCCAGCTGCTCGCGCTGTCCTCCCCTCCGCCTTCCCCTCCTCCTTTCCATGACTCTGAGATTCTGGTGAATCCGCTTCCTCTGCCTTCGCTCGCTCGCCTCTCCCCCTCGTCCCCCTCGCTGCCCCCATCGATGCGCGCTCCTCTCAGCGCCCGCAGAAGCTCCTGTGCAACTGCCCGCTTCTCCCTCTCCCCCACTCTCCCCCCCACCGCCACACTCCCCCCCACACCCCCCTCGTACACATCCCCCACGCCCCCTGCTCCGCCTCCCCCTTCCCCCGAACCCAAATCCATCCAGCTAGACGGGGGCGGGGATGCAGATGCAGCAGGAAGCGCAACCGCGGAGGGCGAAGCAGCGGAGGGCGGCGGGGAGGGGAGCGCAGGGAGAGTGCAGAGCTCGAGAGAATAGAGAAGGAAATCAGGGAGGAGGGAGAGGTGACGCGCGCAGGAGCGGAGGTTGAGGAGGCAGAAGGCGAGCAGCGAGGAGAAGGAGTCGCGGCGGTAGAGCTGGGCGATGGCGTCTAGGAGCAGCTTGGCGTTGGGGTAGTCGTGCATGCAGAGGTACTCGCGTGCCATGTCACATGAGACCTACAGACGGGAGGAGGGAGGGAGGGGAGAGGCATAGGAATGGGCATAGGTATGGCAGCAGTTTGGTGGTGGCATGTTGGTGCATGCACAGGTTCGCGCGTGCCATGTCTGTGACGTTTGGGGTGGGGGGGAGGGATGGAATGGGTGAGGAGGAGGAGATGAAGGAGCCGGGATGGGAAAGGGAAGGGGGTGTGTGGTGTTACCAGATTGGAATCACTCTTAAAGAATCCTGAAAAATGATTTCAGCACAGATGGGTTGCCACATTGGTGTTTGGATGGTGGTACAGCTTTGAGTCACTCCCCGTAGGGATGAGCAAGGGGCGAACACGAACATGTTCGTGTTCGCCCCTACACGAACACATCCGTTTGCCGAACCGAACACTGTTCGGTTCGGCAAACACTTTAAGCAAAAACACGAGTTCGCCGTTCGCCTGTGAAGGCGTGTTCGGGCGAACCTCGAACACGTTCGTGTTCGTCGCGGGGCAAATTGCAGCAGCGGCCCGAACACGAACGTGTTCGGGCGAACCTCGAACACTGTTTGGCGAACACTTTAAGCAAAAAAAACAAACCTGTTCGGTTGGCCTCGAAGCTCATGTCTAACTCCCCGGCCCCCCTCTCCCACGCCCACTGCCCACCCAACCGTGCCCTCCCGTCGCACGACCCCTCCATTCCCACCCTCACATGCGCCACAATGCGCTGTGCGCGGAAGCCACAGAACAGTTGTGTCCTGGTTGCTCCTGTCCCACCGCCCACCCAACCATGCCCCCCCTTCCACCCCTTCCCCACCCTCACATGCACCAGCACGCGCTGTGCGTGCATGGCACAGTAGAGTTGTGTCCTGGCTGCTCCTGTCCCACCACCCATTCACCAACCCCCGGCCCAACCATCGCTCCCCATCCCACTGCCCACCGCTCACCCAACCATGCCCCTTCCACCCCCTCCCCCCACACATGCGGCATCATGCACTGTGCATGGATGCCACAGTACAGTGCGTGTGCCTTGGATACCCTCGTTACACGCACCATACCCCAGCTCCACCACACGCCCCCAAACACGCCCTCCACTCCCCTCCCACCCAACCACGCGCCACCCTTTCCCCAAACCCCACCTGTGCCATCATGCGCTGAGCGTGAATGCCGCGGTACAGGTCGTGTGCCTTGGCCGCCCCTGTAACAGACCCCTCCGCCACCCCTTCCCACCACCCACCCCCCACCCAACAATCCTCTCCCTCCCCTCTCCCACCTGTGCCATCATGCGCTGGGCGTGGATCCCGCGGTACAGGTCGTGTGCCTTGGCATGCAGCAGAATAACCGCCCCCGACAGGTGCCCTGACCGCTGCCGCAGCACCTCGTGTAGCAACACCTCCTGGTCCGTGGGGCTGGGGTTGAGGGGAGGAGGTACGCATGGGGGGGCGGGTTGGGGGGCAGGTGGGGGGACGCGGGTGGTGCGCAAGGTGCACGGTGGGTGAGGGTGTGGGACGGGAAGGAGCAAGAGGGGGTCTGACAGGTGCCCCGACCGCTGCCGCACCACCTCGTGCAGCAGCACCTCCTGGTCCGTGGGGCTGGGGGGAGGGGGATATGGGTGGGGCGGACGGGAAAGTCACTATGAGCGTATGGCGGGTGGAGGAGGGACAGGGAACGAGGAGCAGCACAGCACCTCCTGGTCCGTGGGGCTGGGGGGGTGTGGGTGGGGGATCGGGTGGGGGGGTTGCGGGTGGGACGTCAGGAGAAGACATGTGCTTTTATGGTAGGTGGGTGGAGAGGGAGGGGCAAGCGGGTTAGAGGGTGTGAGGGAGGATGGACGATGCTGGGAACGAGGAAGGAGGGGCGAGGAAGGGAGACTGGGGCAAGAGAGGCACCTGAAAAAGAACAACCACGCATGTGCACCATGCACCATGTGCCATGCACCATACACCACACACCATGCCGCACCACACTCCACCCACCACCTGTTAGAATCCTATGTTCTAGCATGCCAACACTTGTGACTGTACACCAATTGTGGTGTACAGTGAGTTGGGACTACACCCAACTTTGGGTGTAGTCTTGCATTGTGGGGTGCCAATCCAACCCAATTGTGGTGGAGCCCCCAAATGCAACCCACTTGGCCTCAGGATGCCTCACTTCCCAAAAGTGAGGCCAACCCAACCCAAGTGGGCCTGAGGTTGCCTCACTTCCCACAAAGTGTGGTCAACCCAACCCTTCTTCTCCAACCTTCTCATCCAACCTATGTATGCTTGTTTCTTCTCTAATCTAATTACTCATTCTTTTTCAATCTTCACACCACCCACCACTCTCAACGCACCACACGCCACACACCATGCACAACACACACAACCACCCGTCAATCCTCAAACCCCTCCAGCAGTACCGCACTCACCGTTGCTCGTGCGGCGCCTGTCCTCGGAACACCAGCCGGCACGCCTGCCCCACATACACCGGCTCCTCCACTCCCGAATTCCCCTCCGCCAGAACATCCACCAACCCATCCACACTCACTCCAACCGCTCCAAACGCCCCCGCATGAACCCCTCCCACGCCGCCTCCGTCCCCTCCCAAAGCAGCCAGCCCAAAAGTATCCAGAGCCAAGCGGGCATCGTCATATGCACGCCTGTGCCTGAGCATGTGCTTCGCTGCTAGCTGGAACACACGTGCTACTAGCGGCACACGCAGGGACTGGGATGAGAAGGGACCCTGGCCTTCCAAGGCGGGTGGGAGAGGCGTTGCTGTGGCTGTGACTGCTGCTGTGGTGGCGGCGGCAGTGGCGGCAGCAGTCGCGCTTGTTGCTACTGCCACTGCTGCTGCGGCTGCGGCAGCAGCGGCTGCGGCAGCGGTGGCGGCGGTGACAGGGGCGGGGAGGGGAGGGACGGAGGAGGTAGAGGAGGAGGTGCTAGGAGCGGGAGAGAGAGGAGGAGACGAACGGGCGGAGGAGGGGAGGGAGGAGGGCGCAGAGGGCGGGAAGGTGGAGAGGGAGGAGAGGGAGGCAGAGGAAGGGGCAAGGGATGGAGCAAGAGACCCAGTGGACAACGGTGGCCCTGTGAGTTTCATCCCATCAGCATCAGCGGCAGTAGCAGTAGAAGCAGCCGCAGCAACAGCAGCATCGTCCCCTTCCGTGCCCCCACCACCCCCTCCCCCCACCACAGGAGCCGCCGCCGCAGCAGCAGCAGACCCAACAGCAAGAGCAGCACCAGCCGGCGTCCCCACCACATGCCCAGACGACGCCAACCGCTGCTGCAGCAACTCCCCAAACACCTCATATTGCCTCGCCATCCACCCCCAGTGCAGAAAAGCAGCTTCAGGAGGGCCCACGCGGGCTCGGAACCACTCCATGAAGGTGCGGAACCAGCCCACAGCTTCGACCTCGCGGCCCGAGTGCAGCAGGAGCGTGCAGACCTTGAGGCTGAGCACTTCAGCTACTGCTTTTACTTCCAGGACGGTTTGCAGTGGGTAGCGCTCCGATGCTCCTGAGAAGAGCTGTGCGGGGATGGAGGGGGAAGGGAGGTGAGGGTGACGTTTGAGTTGACTTAACAGCCGGAGTGCAGCAGGAGCGTGCAGACCTTGAGGCTGAGTACCTCCCCTACTGCCTTGACTTCCAGGACGGTTTGCAAGGGGTAGCGCTCCGATGCTCCTGAGAAGAGCTGTGCGGGGATGGAGGGGGAAGGGAGGTGAGGGGGCGTGGGGTAAAGGTGAGGTGAGTGGAAGGGGGATGTAGGGAGGATAGGAGGGAGAAGGACGGAGGGGAGGAGGGAGAAGGGGACGGAGGGGGGAGCAAGGAAAAGAAAGAGACATGGGAAAAGAATTGGAGGGAGAACGAGAGATTAAGGTAAAGACACAGGTCGGAATTTCACAAAGAAAGGAAACAGCCAGGAGTAGAAGTGGAAGATGAGAAGCTTGGCAGCCAACGCAACAACACACAAGCACACGCAGGTGGTTCAGTCAAGCGTCTTGAATCGTCACAAGTGAGAGACACGGCGTTACCTCCTGCAGCGAGAGGAAGGCCGCCTCGTAGCACTTGACAGCAGGCAGCCACTCGCGACGGAACTCACAATACATGCCCATCTGGGGGGGATCAGAGGAGGGGGGGAGGGAGGAGGGTGGAAAAGGAAGTGGGGGGGAACGGGGGGGAGAATGGGGGGACGTGGATAAGAGGGTTGGGCTGGTAAAGGAGGGACATACCAAGGCGTGCAGCGTGGGAGAGTACAAGGGAACCACCCAGAGGGTTTGAAAGGGAGTACAAGAGCGTGGGAGAGAGTGAAATCCGGGAGTGCAAACAGCACCCCAGGCTGCCCACTGCCCACTGCCTGGTGCATGGTCCCTGCACCGTGTGCACGCACGCACCTTGAAGTAGTCTCGCACGGTGAGCGCAATGTAGGCACGGCGCTCCACCTTACAACTTCCGAGTCGACTCAAAAGTCACACGGCACACACACACACAGCACGGTGCGGTGCGGTGCGGTGCAGTGCGGTGCGGTCCCTGCACGGTGCATGCACGCACCTTGAAGTAGTATCGCACGGTGAGCTCGGTGTGTGAGTACGCGCGGCGCTCTATCTTGAGGCGCATGCGCCGCACCTCGTCCCGGTAGTAGTTGGCGCACAGCTCCACCACCACCGCGCACAGCCTGCCGTTGGGTGCAGGGGAGGCAGGGGGCAGAGGGAGAGGGCAAGAGGGAGAAGGCGGCAGGGGAGGAAGTGCGCAGAGCGGAAAAGGGGGACAGAGGGAGGACAGCCGGAGTGGGAGGTGAGGGGAGAGGGGGGCACGGGGGGAGGGGGGCGAGGGGGAGAGGGGGGCAAGGGCCGAGGGGGACAGGGGGCGAGGGAGGCAGGGGGCGAGGGGGGAAGGGAGCGAGGGGTACACAACGGTCAGCAGGGGAGGAGTCCATATTCTGAGCTGCTAGAAGCACAGATGTGACAAAAAGAGTAGGGACTTGAAGCTTTAGACTCAGAATTTGGAGAGGTAGGCTGTGCAATTGATGCCATATGGAATCGTTTATAGGTGCGCCGGAGAATGGTCAGAGAGGGAGAGAGAAGGATAGAAGGGCGATATTAAGAGGGGGGGTGTGCATGTGCATGAGCATGTGCATGTCTATGTGTGTGTGCATGTCTATGTGCATGTGCATGTGCATGTGCATGTGCATGTGCGTGTGTATGTGCATGTGCGTGTGCATGTGCGTGTGCGTATGCATGTGCATGTGCGGGTGCATGTCTATGTGCATGTGCATGTGCATGTGCGTGTGTATGTGTGAATGTCATCCCACCTGGAGAGGGAGCGCTTCTGGTCCTCAGCATCAGCCACGAGGAAGGGGATGCAGCTGCGCCCATCCACCTCCGCCCGCCGCTTCAGCATGCCCAGCCGCTCCTCACTCATCTCACCTGACATGGGGGGTAGCGGGAGGGGGATGTGGGGCATGTGAGATGGGGCATGTGAGATGGGGCATGTGGCATGTGCCACGTGGCATGCGGCATGTGACATGGGGCATGGGGCTGGCGCTAGGGGCATGGGACATGGGGCATGGGGCATGGGGAAAAAATATGGTTGTGGAAGGCACGAGGTCAACTGTTCGGCCACACTTGGCTGTGCTCCCGACAGGCATGGGAAGGCATGGAGAGGCATGGATGGGAAGGCATGGGGAGGCATGGAGAAGCATGGATGGGAAGGCATGGGGAGGCATGGGCAAGCATGATCCAGTGTGCAATGGTGAGCCTGGCTGCTGGCGCTGACAGCAGCATGGCACAGCGTGGCATGGAAGAGCTCCAAAACGCCTCAACACACGTGGCACGGCACAAAGTGGCATGGAGTGGTATGGAGTGGTACAAAGTAGTATGGAGTGGTGTCAAGTGGCAGGGAGGATGAGCAGGCAGTGCCGGGCTGACCGGGCTTACCGCCTGCTGAGGCCTGCACGAGCAGCAGAACGAGCTTCACATTACGCCCCCTCAACGCACTCCTGTAGGGCACGGGAACCATGCACGCATACACACATGTGCATCCATGCACGCATACACACATGTGCATCCATGTACATCCATGCATGCACACACATACGTCCACGCATCACGCGTTCAACGGGACAAGGGGACATACACAGATGAGGGCACTCTTGGCTACTTCTGGCTCCACCGTCCAGCACGCATCACCCTCCCCCTCCCCTACACAACCCAGCAGACCCACCAACACTCCACACCACACCCATCACACAACACCACACCACACCACACTACACACACGCACTTGATCTGGTCGATCTCGGCGCACACGGACTGCCACGCGCCCGCATCCCCGCACAGAAGCGCCTTCTCCACCAGCACCACCGCCGCCGCGGGGATGCGCTCGCGGTGCTTCTTCACCCACTCCGCCTTCACCACGCCCAGCGGCGGCGCGCACTTGGCGTCCGCGGGCCGCCGCTCCTTCCCGCTCACCTCCGCCGCGTCCGCGCGGTCGGGCACGAACACGGACGCCACGGGCGGGGATTGCGCCTGCAGGTGCTGCGCGATTGCCACGTGGAGCTCCGGCACGCCCAGCAGCGCCACCAGGGGCACCGGCGGAGTGAGCAGCTCCTCGGGAAACGCGTCCATGGGCGGAGCAGAGGTTTCCGCCGGGCGGAAACGGCGCGGGGGAAGGCGGGGCGCGACTGTTCAAGCGAGGGGGAGGGGGAGGAGGGAGAGGGGGGGGATGCGGAAGCGTGGGGTGAAGAAGAGGAGGGAGGAGGGACGGGGCCATGCAAGCAGTGAAAGCCCGAGAGGCAGTACACCAGAGGGAGGAAGACGGAATGATGCGACGATGACCGGAGTATGGATGGACCGGGATCGGACGCACCTGAGGTAGGGTTTCCGTGCCAAATGCGAGACTATCCAAGGGGGTCACGATAGCTGGTGCGCGCGTTTACGTTCCGATGAGTAGAGATTTGGAAGTGGAGGAGCTCGGCGCGCAATAAGAAGGCGTGGACGAGCAGCCAGTGCAGTCTGCAGCATTCGAAAGGCGAAGGCGCTGCGAAAATCTCATGGAATCAGCAGGCGGGTAACCATGTGGCATGCAGGGTTCATTGCTCAAGGCTGATCGCACGAAGGATGCTGCTCGCCGCTGCTGCCGTTGCGGCGGCTGCAGTTGATGCCAGTGCCGCAGATGCGGATTCAAACGTGAGGCACGTGGAAATGGAAGTGTCTCACGCTTGCTGCACCAGCCGTAACTAGCAAGACCGAATCGGAGCAAACGGCGTTGCTTAGGGCGATTACTGGAACGAGATACCCAGGAACGGGAGAAACCGGATAGGTAGCCAGATGAGCGGGGAGATATTTGCGGTCAGATTTGCGGGATCGAATACATCGGGGTGATGAAACTAGAGAGTCTTATGGGGAACCAGTAGTCGGCTCTAACGGTTCGTCCGTCGATCGCACGCTCGGCCGCATCGCCCTGAAATTCGGCACTATAGGTTATTTCTGAAGTTCCTAGTCGATAGCTATGGTCGGTATTGGCCAAATGTGGAGATCGGTGAACTAGGTGGATCCTGGATAAGAGCTCACTCCATTACAAGGGCGGCGAGAGAAGGGGCACAGATACAGCACGAAAGCTGCATATGGATGTCCTATTACGCAATTGCAAACACATTTGAATGCGTCCTATAACATTTGCTGTCGGTAGAAGGCCACTGCCGATTCTTATCTCAGAAACGTTGGATAACGCGATTATATACATCAATTCTTACGCGATTTTATACGTCAAATTTTACGCGATTTTATACATCAATTCTTACGTGATCCAACCAGGCCAGCCTAAGCACAAAAATACGCAGATATCAATTGTAGGAATCAGCTCTACTGTTTAGTTTGTGCATCATCCAAGAAAACACACCTCACCAAAAAGAACGAGACATTGGCCTCAACCAGATCTGCGGAAGCAGAGAGATTAAAGGGTGAGAATAAGGCCAGGCAGAGAAGACTTCTGCTCACGCCACAGGCGAGACTCCCAGACTTGAAGCCTGTTAGATGCTACAGAGCTAGCACCTAGCTTTGCGCTGGAAGCCATAGCCTCGCGGCATGAAGCCGCGGGCAGCGAGCTTAGTGCGCCAGAAGCAGGTCCAAGCACAGTCGCGGAAACGGCAGTGTTGACGAACTCTTGGAGTCCAGTCACTCTGCCGCTGACGGGCGACACCGTCCAGACGTGGACCCACGCCACATCCACCAGCGCTCCACGACGGGTCTTCACGATGCTGACACCCTCGGAAATAACCTGCATGGACATAGCAAACAAGTGAGTTATAACAGAAACCAGAAATGGCTGGCGAACATGAAGGGGGTCGAAACACTGCGCACCTTGTCGTTTTTGGCAGTCACATCGACGGGCATGAACTTCACACCATCAGAATCAACTTCCCCGACAATCAGCGACAGAAATTGCATGCAACGCAGCTGGCGAGATTTAGGACCATGGAACCACCAGTCCACGTCCTCCGCCAAGTGCGCTCGGGCTCTCAGCAGGTCGCCAGATCCGAGAGCGGCATAAAGCTCCCTGACAATACTGAGATTCCGCGACTCCAGCTCGGACGTACTTGAAGAAAACGAAATGAACGGAGAGCGCTTAGGGAAAGGCGAAGAATAAAGTAAGGGAATATTCACAAGGGAAAATACCTAACGCAGCAGTTAGGGGAGAAACGGTGGGATCAACTAAACACAAACTGGCTAGCAGTGAGGGCAGCGAAACTTGGGAGGAGTAAAATCAGGTCTGCTGGAGCGAGTGTTGGGGTTTTGTGCTGGCCTGCTTGACCTCCAGAGTTCCGAAGGAAGCTCAGAAGTTCAGGCGGACGTTGAAGCGCGCCGAACCACCACGCCAAAGAAAGCCCAGACCAGTTTTGTTCCGAACCGGAGCCTCAGGTAGCAGAGGCACCACGAGACGAGAAGGACGCGGTCACGCGGAAGCCAACGCCTGGCTGGCATGTGCCCTGACAGAGCAGCCATGACACCGTGTACAGTAAGAGGGACCACATCATACCTCACTGCCAGCCATGTGGCACTGACAGACATGGGCATAGAAATCCACGGCGGTGAGTGCAACGAAGATTGCGCGTTCCTCACTGGTTTCTGATCCCAAGCCAACCAACTGCCCATTTCGCCAGGTAAAGTGTGTCTGTATGGGTGGAAAAGTTAGTCCGGTGAAATAGAGAAGGAATGTTACACATCTGCATAACGAAATATCCTACAAAGTATAATAAGCTCATGAGCTACAGAAACAGCTAGCCAGCCAGGTGGTAAGAGTTGGTATGGCTAATTTCCAGCTTGCACTGAGGCATATTTCACAATGCCAGTCTCATGAGGTTTAGGTCCCTAACCGAAGCACATGTTACTGGATTTGCTAAATGTACACTGGGTACCATGCCATGATCCCTCAACTTTAGTAACATGACAAACAAATATACATTAAAGCAATATTCATTAACAACCCATACTCCGTGTAAGAAAGTAGATCTCTCAACATGGAGCCAATTCTACGTGTTTTTAAACAGCCTTCTCACGTTCCTTTCGCTCCACCTCGCCCCGCACCTCCAGCACCGCTGCCCCCTGTCACACTGCAAGCCCCCACAGCTCCTGCACTGCAGCATAAACAAGGGAGCAGTTGAACCAGTCAAAGACGAGGGGAGCAGCCACGAACGTGATGCTGCCATGCAGTGGGAAAAACCGCTGCTTCATAACATGTAGCTTGTAGCATGTAACTAGTATGGCGCCGGGTTACAGTTCAACCGCACTGAACCAGATGATGGGGAAATGTGCGCTACTGCCTCCCTTAACAGTGTGAACCTGCAGCAATACTCCCTTGGTCAAGGAAATCAGAAGCACGTCTTTGCTCTTCTGTCCGCTCTGCTATTGCACCACCGTTGCTGCTGAAATCGCAGCCACAGCCCCTGCTGCTAACGCTGCCGCACCAGCTGCTACTGCCACCACTCCCGCAGACAGCAAACCAGATGAGATTGCAGTAGGTGCAGCTTCAACAGTGGCAGCAGCAGGAGGAGAGGAGCGAGTGTGGGTGGGAGAATTGCCGTGCAGTAAGAAGGTGAGGATGGTGTGGTTGAAGCGAGCGGTGTCGTCCGCTTGTAGTGCGTGCGAGCCTTTCTCAAACACCTCTAGGCGACTGCACAGTCCGAAGTGCCTGTGGAAAGGGAAGCAGCAGCGAGCGCAAGGAGCGAGAGAGGGGAAGCGAGAAGGGGGGTGGGTTGGATGGGGATTGTGGGTGGGTGGAAGCGAAGAGTGGGGCAGGTGCTGGATGGTGAGGGGACAGCACTGAATGGCGTAGTCTGGTAATGGATGGAATTGCATTGCATTGTGTGGCATTGCATGGCAGTGTGCAGCAGGGTTGAGTGGCAGCGGCACACGTACTTGTGCATGCGGTAGCCAATGGAGATCGGGAACACAGCATCATCCTCTCCCCACACGATCAGCGTCTCCTGTAACCACAGCATGAAATACAGGCTTAAAAAAGTGCTCGTGAGGGGTTGGGGGTTGCGGGATAATGCAGCACGTGCTCATGCGGCATCAGAAAAGGCACAAGAGGCACGCCAGTGTCAGCCCTGGCTTACAGCTCGTATTACATAGGCCACTCTGAGCTCAGACCTGACTTTCACATGCACTGCATTGCGCTACACTGCATTGTACCCAGAGTGCACTGACCATGGTTGGAACGGGGTAGTGTGCATCGCCGTGCACTCTCTGCTCGCGCAGGTCCTCCAGCAGTTGCGCCTTCTCCTCCCTGTTCTCAAAGAAGCGCTGCACCATGAACCACACACCACGCATGAGCGCAACGCCCCGCCGATGACCCAGTCAGATCATGTGGGAACGGTGAGAGCAGCAACGCAGCAACGCAGCAAACCAGCAATGCAGCAAACCAGCAACGCAGCAAACCAGCAACGCAGCAAACCAGCAACGCAGCAAACCAGAAACGTAGCAAACCAGCAACGCAGCAAACCAGCAATGCAGCAATGCAACGCACTAGCATCTCCCATTCCCCGCGCTTCCACCCTCTCCCCCTCTCTCTCCCCCCTTTTTCTCCTAACTTCCCCCTCTCTCCTCCGTTCTCCCCCGCGCGCACTCACGTCAACGGCGTCTTGGAGAATCCACTCGGGCAGGTACGGCGTCTCGCGGTGCGCCATGCCGATCAGGTCTTGTACGTGCGCAGCCTTTAGTCTAGACCATGAAGACTATTTAGAGTCTTAGTAACAAGCATATGAAGCTCTGGCCCCAACTGTGTGAAGGAATTTGCTGGAAAACGCCAAGGCAGAAAGTTCAAGGAATTTCATTGAAGAAGGCATGCAAAAACAGAAAACACAAAGCAAGTTATAAGCAAAAGGATTTCTGATTTCGCCCTCGCGCCGCGCCTAATTTCGAGCTGAGTTGTACTCGGCTCAATTTCCAAATCCAACCATGCATCGAACGCGCCTCGAGTTCGAATCAGACTTCCTTGGACGCGCCTTTGACCCGGCGTGACTTCTCTTCACGTCGCTTGGAATCTCGACATTTCAGCTGTTTTCTTCTCCATTTCTGCACACTTCCCCTCCTCTTCGATTCCCACTGCAGGTCGCGCCGCTACCGTGTTTCTCCTTCCACCGTCCCAACATAGGTAGCTCCTCTTCTTCTTAGGTCCTCGCTTTCCCTTAGTCACAGCTCGTCAAACCGAATTCTTCTTAGGTCGATGTAGATCGCGTTAGGTCGTTCTAGGTCATGGTTAGCCAACCACCTTCAACATCAGGCGCAGCAGCTCCGCGGGCGTGCGCGGAAGGAAGAGCGGCACGGAGCTGCGCACGCCCCAGCGATCGATGAGCGCGTCGTACTCCGCGCGGTTCATCATCACGCCCGACCCCGCCACCGCCAGCCGCGCCACACGCGACGGGGAGAGCGTCGCCATGCTGCTCGGGGTAGGAGGGCATTCAACGCGGAAAGAGACGGGAGCTAGAGGGGATGGGTGGGCTGAACTAATGTTTGGTGCTTGGAAACGCAAGGAAACCAAATGCACGACATTCAGCGGCTTGGGGTGCTCGGCGGCATGACGGGTGCCGCATTGCAAATGCGCCGCGAGCATTCCGGCGACATGCATGCGTCCCTCAGCCGCCGCCGTTCGTAAGGCATCATTCGGGCGACATGCGACACGCGTCATTCGAGGCCCCGGGGGTACTAGTAGTACTATAACCCACATGCTCGCACATGGTTAGCCTCGCTCGCAAAATTAAGCTTGTACTACAGGCGTGAGGTCAATTCGGCGCGCGCCTGCACGTGGATATCCTTGAGCGTCTCGGCACCATGCAGCATGCCGCGCGCCGTGCGCGTCCTGTGCGACCCACATTGGCTGTTCGCATTACGACCATACAATTCCGCGAAACTTTAGCTAATTACTAGGATCTCGTTACACCGCCGTCGCGCTAACCATCTCGCGAGGATAAATGCTTCAATTCGGATGGTTTATTCTTGCCACACGCCCCCATTCTCACCGGTACGCGACAATTCCCCCGTAGCTGAGCCCCACCACTTGGCACCGCTCTATACCGAGCGTGTTCATGAGCCCCAGCATGGCTTCCGCCTGGAAGAACTCTCCGCGGCGCTTCGAGCTGGCGCTGGTGGAGGAGAAGAAGAAGACGAGGCTAGGAATGTACAGCTCGAAGTGCCGCGACAGCACGGGTATTTGCTTTATCCAGTGGTTCAGCGACGACGCGCCGAAGCCGTGGATCAGTAGCAATGGCGGGTTGCGGCCACTCCGTCGTTCCGCTGTCGCCCGCGAGGCGACAGAGTCGCCGTCGTCGTCGAAGTCGTCGTCGCCGTTGTCAGTACTAGCAGCGGCGGGTTTTCCGTGCGAGGCGGGGACCCAGCAGGCCATGCGCGTGTGGCCGTCCTCTACGACGAAATGCTCGAGCCGCAAACCGTACGAGCGGTACATGAGCGCGTGTAAGGTCTCCTGAATCTCCACCACGTTCGGCAGCAGCCGGACCGACGGCGCCATTGCGCCTCACGGGGCTCGGGGAAGCTTCGCGTGGAGGGTGCGCAGCGTTGGTGCAGAGAAACGTGGGCGTAAGGAGTGTATGTCGGCGCTGCGAGGCTCGGGAGAGCGCAATGCGGGGCGTGCGCGCAGGGAAAGGGAATTATATCACAGCCGAGTTCCTCGGGTAGCAAGAGAGGCTGAGACGTGAGACACGGAGCCGGTGTGGCACAAGCAGCAAACTTGAGGATGGAGCAGCTGCGTATGTACTGTACTAGAAGCACCTGTGAGACGGACTCTGGTCTGGTCTGGACTGGATGGACCTGCCTCACTCTGGTGACTTGCCGTTGGGAGGAGTGGCGGGCTGGGGCGGGGGGTCGAGCTGATGACCAGTGTCGTGGCAGTAGAGAGGGGGGGACGGGGGAAAGAGGAGAGGAGAGGAGAGGAAGTGAGGCACACGCGTCGGCCAGACTTCGTCGAGTCGTGTCGTGTGGCATGGCAAAGAGCTGACACCAAGGCGCCACGGGTGGGAGGGGTGGGAGGAAATGACAGGTTGCCCTATTTGCCCTCGCGGGGTGCAGGCAGGGATGATACAAAGGACATTTGCCCTCGCTCAACTCGGTTATTTACCGGGCTGGATTCTAGGGATACTCACTCATGTTCGTTGGGGGATGGGCAGGGCCTAACCTGGATTTGATCCGGGCGTGTTTGGAGCCTAACTGGGAGTTCTTGACAAGAACCGCACCTTCCACACCGACCGTGGAGGGTCATCAGTGCTTTTTCAGACCCATGGAAGGAATCCACCCGGTTGTTGCGTCCCAGACTAGCTAGCTATAGGGATATATTCAGTTTTTTTTCACACTGGTGATGAAGCATAACATCTCAAGTTTCGAAATACGCCGCATCAGCCCGTTTGCTAACATGCCAGGTTTGGGCCAGCGCAAAAAAACGATGGTCTTCCTTTGTGCCAGCTCAGTTTTGTAAATTCTGGGCCGACCAATCGACACGACAGCCTTGGTGGGGTGGAGAGACAACTTGACCATACAGTAGTGGGTTGGGAAAATGAGTTGTATCCATGCATCGTACACATCGTGAAACGATTTCCTTTGAGTAGACCAGAAGCGAGCACAAGAGGTTCGCCTGCCTCGTCAAATTCGCCACGGGAAATTTCGGGGCCGAGGTGAGCAAGCGAAGAAATGTTGGTAACACATTGAAAACATCTAACGAAGCGGCGGATGACTGTGCGATAAGCTGTGTGAACACCAGCTGCGACCAACAATTGGGACTGTACTGTGCATACAACTGCCCGGTCCCAATGTACATGGGCAGGATCTTGTTGTTTCCCACATCAGCAATGCGAATTTACCACATCCGCAATGAAAACTTATCGTTCTGTGGAGGAGGCGGGCTCGAATCTTTTTTCACGCGTTTGTCAGATGCTTGGTTACAGAGGTCGGAAACTGCACTCACGAGTCCTGCGCCAGAATAATACCTGTAAGGATCATTACGGTTATCTCCATGAAGCTACTCAGGGGAGAGTGAAGCTAGGATGGCTCTACGGAGTCAAATACATACAGGAATTAGAGAAAGCTGTCGTATATGGAAACTGAACTTGCAGAGTGCGCAGTAAAACGAATAACGAGAATGATTGAGTACTGAATTGGTACAATGAACACACAAAGTGACGAGGCCTAAATAGGGGAAGTCCTAGCTAGGCGAAGAGGTAGGGCGAAGATGGCTCGGTGATGGTTGCGATTGGAGCGGAGACCGACTCGGGAGTGGTTCGGTGCGACGAAATAGGACGAACAAGTTCGTCAAGTGACCCTCGGGATGGCCTCGCTAACGAGTGCCTCAGTAAGGATTTGTAAATCCTTATACTCTTCCACCTTCTAAATAAGGCAGCCCTGTACTGAGAACAGACCCCACACTAGCGAGGATGCCGTAGATCTCCTCAAACACCTGAATCCGACGGCTGAAATGCCTTTGACAATATTTTTGAAGAGGTTGGAATGTAGGCCGTTGATGAAGTCTGATTTCGATCTGACGGTCGAAGATTGACACGAAAGAGAGGGAACCTGCTGACGCGAATTCAAACGCGATTGAGCAGGGACCGTAGATCGTGTCGGTGTGATCGCGATCGTCCGTCGTGCTGACGCAACCTGACAAAGTCAGAAAGGACCGAGAGAAACGCCAAGGAAAGAACAGTGCAAAGCACTTTCTCCCCCCCCTCCAAGAGAATTGTTCACAAAATCGTCACAGCTGCGCCGAAGTAAAATCCAACAGAACCAGGTGTTAAGTCCCACTGAAAACGAGTGTTGAGCGTAGGGGACAAGGTGAAAACGTGTCGGTGTGGAAGATCGATGACGAAACCAGTAGTACATGCCCAAAAATTCTTCGAGGGCGAACCAGAAGATGTAGCCCGGAAACCGTGTCGAAAAAAACAAAGACCTCGAACTGTCAATTCTTGTCGTGACACATCCAGAACAGGGCTGGAGAAGCAAGGCCATTTGGCCTTAAAGCAGCGGTATACATTTGACAGTACTGCTGCTTCTCTACAGTGTGCAACGCGATTTCGCCTCAACGAAAAAAAAACGAGGGGGGCGATAGTTTTTGGCGAAGACCTAGGGCACTTCTGTTGTGGGGGAACCAGGGTTGGGTTGGTTGTGAGTCACGAAATGGTTCAATGCTCCCGTCACCCACCTCACCTGCCACCCTCACGCACTACGAAGAATAGGCGACTAAAACCTAAAAGACCAGGTAGAAATAGCCAAGGCGCGCGCTGGAAGGTGCGAAGCCAGCAGCGCGACCACACACGAAGTCGCGGGTGAGTACTTAGGGAGCCGCATTACAAGCCTCGCCTGCGAAACGACCAGCAAAAGCGCGCAGAAGCTGCAGCTTGTGCAGCAACTGTCGCGCTCTCCCCTCAAGCATCGCACGCGCGCACACGAGAAGGTAAGGGGGGAGAGAAGGGCGGGAAGGGAGAGATAGGAGGGAAGGGAGGGAAGGGAGTGAAGGGAGGGAAGGGAGGGAAGGGAGGGAAGGGAGTGAAGGGTGGGAGGGAGAGAAGGGAGGGAAGGGAGAGAAGGGAGGGAAGGGATGGAACGTAGGGAGGGAACGTCGGGCGACGGAAAGGGGAATAGGGAGGCGGGAAGGGAAGTCTGGTGGCGGGAAATGGGAATCAGGCGGCGGGAAATGGGAATCGGGCGGCGGGAAATGGGAATCGGGCGGCGGGAAGGCGCATCGGGCGGTGGGAAGGCGCATCGGGCGGCGGGAAAGGGGAAGCGGGCGGAGGGAACGGGAATCCGGCGGCGCGAAAGGGGAATCGGACGGCGAAAAGGGGCGGTCGGCCGGCCTGCCCAATGGGCGGGAAAGGGGATTCAGGCGACGCGGAAGGGGAACCAGGCGGCGGGTACGTGAATCGGGCGACGGGAAAGGGAGTAGGGCGACGGGAAAGGGAGTAGGGCGACGGGAAAGGGAGTAGGGCGGCGGGAAAGGGAATCGGCCGGTGGGAAAGAAGAATCGGGGGGCGAGAAGGGGAATCGTGCAGCGTGACTGAGGTTTCGTGGCGGCGGGAAAGGGAAACCGGGCAGCGGGAAGGGGCACCAGGCGACGGGAAAGGGGAATCGGGCGTCGGCGAAGGGGAATCGGGCCGCAGAAAAGAGAATGGCTAAGGCGCCGCCATGGATGCATTCTCACTTTTGATGCGAAATGCTCCGCGTATTAGGTTCCAGAAAATAAACAATGGCTCTGTCGGCGTATGACCTAAGCGTGAGAAGCGCTATAATCGCAATGGCTTGCAGTGCTTTTGGAAGTTACATTTTTTAGTGATGACTATGCACGCTTTGGGAGTGGGGACAGTGGAGAGGAGGCACGTCCTTCAGTATACTTTTGGCTAGGTATAAACTTTTGACGAGTGAGTCAGGTGAGAGGGGTTGGGTTTGAACTAGTCGCTGTGTTAGAAGTCGAGAGACCCTGTAATCTGGTTACCACCATGTACCTTTTATAAACTTTTGGCCTTTCCCCTGCCAAATGTATACCGCTGCTTTAATGCCCTGAACATTCCGGGTTACGCTTGGAGCTGCTCGACCGTTTAAAGTGCTAGAATGGCATGGCACCCGTGACAATTAAGGGCCTTGTTTGGGCCTTTCCCTGAATCCAAGTTTTGGTTTCTGTGTTGAGAACAACCCCCCAACCCCCATCCCGCCACTGCCCCCCCACCCCCTCCTTGACTATGCCTACGAACCCCTTCCCTCCTCCCATTTTTTTTGCCTACGATGTAGAGGCTGTAAGATTGTTGAGCGCTGAGTATGCACCTTCCCTCTGCTAAGTAGAAGGCACGTCCTCCTTTGGACATTAGGGCAAAGTGACTTTCCTTAGAAGCCCGGATTTTAAGCCTTGATTTTGGCCTGCGCCAGTGAAAATCAGGGCCAGAATTTGAGCACCTCAGGACTCAAAGTTTTGGTCCCAAGGACTTTGACAGCCCTGATCCAAAATCTTCGGTGGTGTCTTCAGCAGTTGCAGCTGGCAGCACCTGACGTGGTTGATATTAAATGCAGTTGTCGTGGGCGGGTCGAAGGCGAGTTGTCAGAGTAGAGTTGGGATGGTTTCTCCGAGAGTTTTTTCGTTAGGCGCCGATGGTTCGCGGGCAGGGATGAAATTTTACAGCTTTCTCTCCCCCCCTTTACTGTTGATGCTGCCTTCTTCAGTTCGTCGTACGGTAAGTCGTTCGTACCCCTTGAAAACTCCGTGTAGTCCCGCGATGTCGCCCAAACGTTGTTGTCGCATGCGTTTAACCAAATGTCGAAGTACCGCCACGCAAATGTCGGCGCTCCTCGCCGGAAAACTGGTAAGTCCTTCGTCAAACTCCGAAAATGTCGCTCGAAAACAACCCCGTAAAATCCGCAGTTGCAGGTGCAGTTCTCCTCCGAAATCTTCGGTCGTACTATAGCCGCCCACTCGGTCACAGGCTGTTTCGGTCACCAGAACCCATCTGGGGGCATAATCTGGAACCGGGGACTAGACCT